CTCAGCTATTTTTTATAGGATATTACAACACTCGTTAAGCGTCAACGTCAACTTCCTTTGCATATCTTAATAAATTAATTGCAAGTTTTAAAGTTGTGTAATTATCCATTCAAAAAAGAAAATCAAGGAAACAGACTTACTTTAGACTTGACTGGTGTTTTGTTTGCACAACTTTCACTTTTTTGCTTTTCACTTTGCTTTTCCCTCTTCTTGTCCTCCAACAACTAAAGCCAAACGAATAAACACTTCAATTTCTCCTCATAAAATCAGGTTTAATTTAGTAAGACCACTCTGTTTTATAGAGCATTGATAATGTAATAACAAAAATCAACCGTGGAGAATCGAACCACAGAGTTCTCTTCTGAGAAGAGGGCCAAGCACTTCTACTATTCAGGGCAGAATTCAGTGCATACAATTTCTAAGAACTTTGATCTGGGCATGATCCTTCAAATACTCCAAGTTATGTGGCACATGCAGCAAACATGTACATGTACATGTAGAGGAAATGTCGAGAGACGTCCATACCCGGTGTCTATTGGTCTCTAACATACATGTACATACATACATACATTACTATATAAACGTTGCCATTTAAGGGGGTACAAGGGCGTTCAAGACAACGGAAAATTTTAAAACTGTGACATCAAAAAGTGGATGCCGTTGCTTACAACAGGAGGTCGCTTTACGACAGGTTCCAGCTATGATCTTTGACTGGGAACATTTTGTTGTTTTCGATAGGTTAGCCTGTGTAGCTTATAGTCTAGAAGATGGTCGCTTACAAGGGGTAACTGCACCATAGTGTTTCAGCTGTTCATGTACTTTGGGTGCATGTTAGATGCTCACCTTCTTTATGCTCTTCAGCTCCAACTGGGCCTGTTTATTACTTGGCTCCAGTCTAAGTGCTTCTCTGTAGTCAGCCTCAGCCTGTTGAACTCGTCCCATCTGAAAGCGGGCTGCACCCCTTCTCAAGTAAGCTTTAGTATAGGAACTGTCCAGAGACAAGGCTTGCGTACAATCAGCTTCTGCTGCTCCGTATCTACAGTAAGTACAGGAAATTGAATGTGTATTGTGTTATAATGGGAGAGCTGGAAGTGCAAGCTCTAGGAAGGGAAGTGAGATAGACCAGGGATTCTTAACCCTTTAAGCCCCAATATACACATACAAATTCTCCAAACTGATCTCTATACATTTCCATGAAGAATGAGTTGAGAGAATTTAATAAAAGATCAAAGTATTTTCTCTTAGGTGTTCATTTTATTAATTCTCATAACCTAATCTCTTGACATTGTATGGATATCGTTAGGAGAAAATTGATGTTGGTCACTATTGGGACTTAAAGGGTTAACATTTATATAGGAAAGCCAGCGCAATTTGTACCAGTACATTTCAGAAGCTCTGGTTGGGCTTTGGTTTGGGGTGATGCAATTTTTCTACTCCTTTTAGTATGTTCAGTTGATTTGGACAAACGTTGATATGGTTGTTCTTCCACCACGTACAATTTTATAGTTTTATGTTTATGCACAAGATTTAAGCCCGGGAGGATTGTTTCAATGGTAAACATCCCAAGAATAAGAGAAATGTTTTTCACCCCAGCAATGATTGAACTCACAAACTCTGAATTAGACGTACCAGAGCTCTAATGAACTCAGCTAAGAGACCAACCTCCTGGGCTTAACGATGCTCCTTAATACAAGCAAAAAATACAGGAAAATCACAACAAACCTCTGTAATTTCAGCAGACACATAGCTCTGTTGGCAGGCAGTACAGCATTAGTTGGGTCAAGTTGAATTCCTGTGGTGTAACAGTTAATAGCCTCTTCATACTTGCCTTCTTTGAAAAGAGCATTTCCCTACAGAACATGTTAAAACATTAACAGCCAACTCTCTCTATCACACTCTCTCAACACCTCTATACATTGTGTAAGATGGACACCTATGTAAAATGGACACCTCGAGCTGGTCCCTGCCTTTCTTTACGACCTTTATTATTCAGACTCTATAAGACAGACATCTCTCTAAGATGGACACTTAGCACCCCTCCCAAAGGTGTCTGTCTTAGAGAGATTTAAGTGTGGTTACCATCTTCAAAAAGTGGATACCATATTTATTCGATAAAGCACCCAACCTCAAATAAGTGCCCACTCTCAAGGCCCAAAAGTTCAATAAGCGCCCAGGGCACCTACTCAAATAAATACAGTATTATGAAACAGAAAAACTCTTCTAATACATCATGTAATTCTGCTGTCTGCTGTCACACAATTTTTGGGTCTAGAATAAAAGGATAATGTTAAAAACAAAAGCAAAAACATGGCTTTTAAGTTACAGTAAAAGACACTATTTTCATCAACTTGTAAGTTTAGTCAATAATTAACTGAAACAATCCAAACCTTGTCCTTTTCAAAAAGTGCCTTTTGCAACCGTCTCTCATTTTCAATGTCTTCATCTGCCTCATCACTTTCCTCCTCAGAGCTTGAAAATGTCTTCATCTCCTCCTGTTCATCCATTTCCTTTAAAACCTTATCCTGAAAATTAAAGAAAATATTTTAACTAAGAACATCAGGCATCCAGATATGATAGAGCTATTTGGCTAAGTCAATGTTGTACCCAATTCAAACCCTTTGGAAATAAAACGTCTTGTTTCAGGAATTTCCATATCACTTAAATGTGATTGCCACATTATACAGCAAATACAATACACAAAGCATCTTAACCACGGGAGATTCGAATTGGGTACAACATTGAGTTACAAGTCAAATAGCCCTATTGTGAAAATGCAAAAAGATATCAGTAGTGATGCTGGGCTGGCCTAAAGACCAATGTGCCTTTAAAGATATGAATATTAAATTCCCGTGTGATTCTAAATTATTATTGTACTGTGCATCAGACACCAGAAACTTACCACATCAAACTTATCCCATGATCTGTAGTCATATGAACTTATTCGTGCTTCCCCCTTTGACATATTATCCTTATTAGAAGCTGATGGCTGCTCCTTCTTCTTCTTCTTCTTCCTGTTAGATTGATTCCTGATGGGAGGAAGGCTCTGAAGCAGAAAATTTAATTAGTTTCAAGGACCAGGTTGAGGTTATCATTTGAATGGTACTGTATAAATAATTATCATAGAAACCTGCTCTCAGCAAACAACCCTGTACAATGGACACCTCCTTAAGCAGTTCAAAATGATTCCACAAATCCAAATAAATACTACTAACACCATTGTGACTCCCAATAACATTAAAAACTGCCAAGTGAATGTGTAATTACATGCCGAGCTTGTATTTTACGACCATTGACATCTTTAACATACCATGCACGGTATGGATGTTCTATTTTTTATCCACACGACGGATTTTGGAATAAGGTGGCTCGGATTTTTTCTTCAAAGAAGCCCACAAAATTTGGACCCCTCGGACAAATTTTTCAAAGGTGCTGACAAAAAAGAAACCCTTCGGATTGCACTCTTGAAGAAATTCATCAGGCTAGTGACGTTAATATCTATTTATCTATTCGGACTTCAGTTTTCAAAGGATGTCAGCAAAAATCTGGAGGGTTGCCGATTCGGATTCCAGTCATCCTTAGGGGGGGATGCGGATGAAAAATCGAACGACCAAAGAATACTGGCACCTCAAACCTATTCATGTACATGTAAGCTTCCAAAATATTTACCGATTCCTAAACCACGGAGCTCGAAATTAAGAGGATGAATTCTAGGGCAAAATCTAGCGACAAGTTGCGTCTATGCAACAAACTTTAAGCTGAAATAATTTAAGCTTGAAGTTCGATGCATAGAATTTCGAGCCCTGAGTCAGTTGAAAAGACAGAAAAATGTGAAGTCAACGAGTTAAACCAAACCTGTTTGTGAACTATCTTTGAGTTGAGGAGTTCATTATCCTTGGTCTTCATTTCGTCCTCCCACTTGTTTAAATCTTGCAGAATGTCTTGCAACTCTTCTGCATTTTGTCGAATATTCATTTGCAGCCTCAACGCGTCCGCCATCTTGGTTGCTTTGTAACCTCACAGTCTTTGATAAAGTCATTTCATGCTCAATATATGACAGGGGTTTTAAGTTCGCGCGCTTTGTGCGGGACTTAGTCAAAGGCGTGCCTTTCAGATGTTTATGTATATGTTGTCGCTTAGGCGTTGTTTCGTTTGTTCGTTTTTATTATATACTTTTAGGAAGTTTACAAACGTCTTCTGGGTTTATTCATTTCATTGCGATAATTTCCTCGTCACACGCGAGAAAAAATCTCTGGTACCCAGGGTAGTCGAAGTGCAGTTTCTCATCCAATCAGATTACAAATTAAATATTCACCTTTGGGGGCCACTTTGAAATTTGCGGTCAGCAGCTGGTGTGAAGCCTTGAACTGAGGTCGAACTGAGGTATGTTCGGAGCCGCTCATGTCTCTTCATATTTAACTCGGCCAACGATTATATCTTCCGAGAGTTTTCCAACTATCCTAGACCACCCAATATATCTGGGCTCAAGGGGCCTGTTTCTCGAAAGTCCGGGTAACTTCTCGGGCGCGGAAAGCTGCTTTGTGTTTTCGGCGTTTACATTCAAGATCAGAGTTCCGTCAATAATTTTGAACATGATAAAATGAAATATCAGTTAACGAAGCAAAATTGACTGGTTTATGGGCTAAGAACTGTACTGTGCTGCTATTCAACAGGTTTGGAATTTAAAATTTCCCTTCGTGCCCGAAAAGTTTCTGGGCCTTTCGAGAAACGGGCCCCAGACTTTACACCAGTTGACCGCAAAATTCAAAATGGCAGCCACAAAAAACAAATTCTAAGCATCGATAAAGTTATTAGTCTTCATTTAATTATTATAAACTTAGTATGCGAGTCCCCTCTGGCATAGTCCAGAAAAGATCAGGTTGAGTAAGTAATAAATGACAATAAAGTCGCTTGGTACTTCGGTCACTGGAGAGCATGTTTTATTTCAGCATTCCGTTAATTTGATTAACGTGTTACAGTTATCTAATCAAACTGAAGACAGACTATTTATCAAATTTGATATTTTCGACCATTGCCTTGATTCCTTCAAATGCCTCCTTTGCGGTAGGTTCTATTAGTCTAGGCGGAAGAAGGAAACCGTATTTCCCGGTGTCTCTCAGCTCCATTGAAAATGTGTACTTAACATTCAAATGCCCATAAATATAGTCTTTTGTTGTCCCTGATTCCGTATCTGTTAAAAAGAAATAAAAGAAAGTATTTACTAGACACGTACAAAAAAAAAGTGAGGTGTGGAGGAACGATATGAGATGTGTGTCTATTCGCAGACAACATTTTTGATTTTTGCCTGGATAGATTTTAATCTATAGCTACGGTTTTCCTCTCGGAGAGAAGAAGGGAAATAAAGTTCAACAACTGATCAAGAATGATGAGTTCCTCAATGCAAGAAAATAGCTGTTTTGTTACATACATAAGATATGAGACGCTTGTCCAAATATGTAACTAGTATTATAGCCACCACGAGATTTGATTGCGTTGGCCATTGCTATAGCAACCCTCTCCTGCANCCCCCCCCCCCCCCCTGCATCCTTCCCCTAGATCCGCCCCTGCCTTGCACCGGTTGACCGCAAAACTCAAAATGGCAACCACAGAAAACAAATTCTAAGCATCGATAAAGTAATTAATCTTCATTTAAACATTATAAACTGGTTGTATATGTGTGTTCCCTGTGGCATAGTCCAGCCAAGGTCAGGTTGAGTAAGTAATAAATGGCAGTAAATTCGCTTGATACTTCGGTCACTTGAGAGCATGTTTTATTTCAGCATACGGCCGTTAGTTTTATTAACGTGTTACAGTTATCTAATCAAACTGATGACGGACTATTTATCCAATTTGATATTTTCGACCATTGCCTTCATTCCTTCAAATGCCTCCTTTGCGGTAGGTTCTATAAGTCTAGGTGGAAGAAGGAAACCATATTTCCCGGTGTCTCTCAGCTCCATTGAAAATGTGTACTTAACATTTAAATGACCATAAATATAGTCCTTTGTTGTCCCCGATTCCGTATCTGTTTAAAAGAAATGAAAGACAGTATTTACTAGACACGCACAAAAAAAGTGAGGGGTGGAGGAACGATATGAGATGTTTGTCTATTCGCAGACAATGCTTTCGATTTTTGCCTGGCTAGGCTTTAATGTATAGCTATGGTTTTCCTCTTGGAGAGAAGAAGGGAAATGAGGTTCAGCAACTGATCAAAAATGATGAGTTCCTCAATGCAGGAAAATAGCTGTTTTGTTACATACATAAGATATGAGAAGCTTGTCCAAATATGTACTTAGTATTGTAGCCACCACGAGATTTGATTGCGTTCGCCATTGCCATAGCAACCCTCTCCTGGAATAAAAATAATAAAGGAAGAAAATATTATTTATCTTTTGCAGATCAGTGCCTTGCAACGCTTGCTTGCTCAATTCATTTAATATAACACTGTAGCATCAAAGTATTAATGCTTTGGACGCTTAACACTAAAATTGATCAGTAGTTAATCACTCCTAGGCCAATGGAGTTGTAGGGCAGGTCAAATGAGTCAAAGGTGGAGTTTGTTGTTGTAGCCAAAGAGAACAATCGTCATTTCGCTACGCGCCGGCGTATGGCTAGTGGTTTGCGAAAACGTCGGCTGTTTTCTTCTCGGGCTCTCATTGTTATTGTTGTTTGTTGTTGGTGTCGTCGCTTACGATATATCGTTGTTTACTGTATGAATTAGTATGAATCACTACAAAATATAAACTAAGATTATGGTAAGTCTTTCAATCATAAATAACCATATATGGTTTTAGATGGTCACATAGCACAAAATTTAATAACACACATAAAGATGGCTCAATAGTCAAGACGATTCGATGAGTTTATAGTTAGTCTTATCAGCCTTTCAAAACTTCTTTCATGTATTTTCCAGGAGCAAACGCTTTTGCTACATGCGGGCCAGTCAATTGTGAAACACTATTTCAAAATTTAATTAAACTAAATTCAGTGAAGTTAAGGTTAAGAACAGTCGATTTCCCTCAGTCGTTGAAAGGGATGAGGAAAGGAAAGCTTCGATTCCCATCTGTTACTGCATTTCTTTCTAATTAAATATTTTTCAGTGGCGAGTCCAGACCTTCAGATAAGGGGGGAGGGGGGGTTCACAATTTTTTTTTTTCGTTCCTTTGGGCCTCAGTTTCGTCTAACAATAAAGAGAGACCGAGCCCCCCGGACCCCCCTTCCCCCCTCCCCTTGGATCCACCACTGTTTTTATATTTCTTACCATTTCGATATGATCTTTAGTCTGCTCCTTTGTATATCCCCATGGGAACAACAACATCTGACCATACGAGTGAATATCCAGGTAACCAACCAGCCTTTTCCTTTGTGACTCGAGGAACCTAGCAACACTCTGAACCTCCTTTTCTGACAAAGGCTCTTCACCATGGAAAGCCTCGCTGCAAGGATCACTGCTTGCTCCTCTCACTTAATAAAAAATTCAAAGAAACACGGTTGAAAAACAAGCCCTAAACAACAAGTTTTACTGTTGTTGTTTTTGTTTTTCTGCCGGCCTCCAGGGCTTCAACCTAAACTGAGATTTATTGTGCATGTGCTGTTGGTCGTTAATTGATCTTTGTATAGTCGTTTAATGCCAGATATGCTTCAATCAAAAGAGGATATCATCTTAATCCCCTACATATCGAATGATTCTAACCCTTCTTTCTTCTATTTTTTCTCTTTCTTTATTGAACGGCACAAGCACACAGCTTCTTAGCAAGCAATTTACCATCGTCAAATGTACATTCTTAGTTTGTTTCCCGAACTTTTGGACGCCTTAAAAACATTGCCATAACCGAAAAATTCTTGCTCAAAAGGAAAGTTTGAGAAACTTTACTGATTGCCTCCAGTAACAGTAATTAACCTCTTTTGTGTAAGAAGAATACTGACTCACCTCCCCAATGAAAACCCCAATTCCGATTAAGGTCCACACCAACACATTTCGAGCCATATTGTCTACTTCTGTTTTTACGCCACATGCGATCCTTTGAACAAATAAATTAGATACTGTATGTTAATAACGCGTCGAAGTATTAACTAGGATAGTATAGTGTTTTAGATAGACCACTCGATAAAGTAACGTTCTAAGCTCATCTGACTAGTAAACTTCTTTTGAGAAATCTATCTAAAAAGAAAAAAGAGAGAGAAGTCTAATAGTTTGTTAAAATGATACCCTCTTTTCCCACTTTTGTCACTTTGGAATAATAATACTAAATCTAGTGTTATCTTCCACCTATCCGGCTTCAGTTCTTGATAGTTTAAAGTGTATGCTTAGTTTACTCATAAATCTTACCTATCTTTCTTATCAGTCGAATTCACCCCTCTAATTCATACCGCATTTGTTTAGCTTATACCTAATTGTTGTTCTATTGTACTTTACTCTTGTTCATCGCGCACCCTTTAAATTTCTTTCATTCTTGAGTGCTTTCTCTCTTCATTGTTCTTTACTACACTTTGCTTAACTGGTGTTTTCATCTCATTGCTTAGCTGAGCTCGTTATTCTCATGAGTAGATCTTCATCTAGCAAAATTCTGAGGACTAATTATATCAGGCCGAGTCTCTACCTACTGAGGGCCGGTTTAGATGGAGGTGGGAGACCCCAGGTTCACTGGTGAGCTAACCCGTTTAGGTGGGGTAACCCATCTGTCCGTATAATCTTTCATTTTAATTTGATCGCGTTTACATGATGGGTGGGGTGACCCGCCGCAGGCTACCTCCATGTCCTCCATGTAAACAGGCCCTAAATTTATCCTACCTTTTCCCAAGTGTAAACATATCCATCTACGTTTAATACCGGCAAAATGACAAAATCGACTTTATCAAGGGCTTTCCTTACTGAATCATCACCTGGGTACCGAGAGACTAGCTGAAACATAAGAATATTATGGTTAGTTATATTGTTTTAATTCAATAAGTGGCACGTCAGGGATATCGTGATCCGGCTATCGGCAAGGGTAAGTTCCAGTTCCACGAACACACAATTTACACTTAAAGATGATTATTAATTAGATATGATTAAAGTTAAACTTATAAAATGATAATATAAAACATTTTATAAAATCGTATTTTCAACAAAATTCTTTATCGTCCCAGTTTTAAACGCAACCTGTACTGGAACTTCATGGTGGGTTGGTCACAGGGGTTAATCGTGGATTGCTAACATAATGCTGATATTCAGCCCAATATTTCCGTCATAGGTTAACTTTAGTTTACAAATGTATAATCAGCCTAACGGCTAGAAAATAACAAATGTAATAACGGACAATGTAATCAAAAATATCCTGACCTGTTCAATGACGTACATACATGTTGCTGGGGACACCCATTCTCTCGCGTGAATTCCACAGTTTATAAACACAAGTGGTTTGGCAATATCTTGATTTGCCTTAATCTAAACGATAAAAAATGGCATCATTATCTTTTCTCCAGGACAGACAGACCAATGAATGATTTCAAAAATTCGCGCCTTAAAGAAAATTGAAATACTATCCTGCAACTGATATGCATATATTTACCATGCGAACCTTTTCTTTCTGATTTACCTAACCTACACTGATATACGATAAAAAGTTTGACCTGTTTCTGAAACATTTTATTAACCATCCGAGTAACAAGAAATTCGCAAATTCGCTTAGCAAGGTGGCAAGGTTTCATGTTTTTATCACGGATCTGGCAAAAAATTCTTACCTCCACAGCAAACAAATGCCGTCCCTCGTATGATGTTCCTACAGAAAACAGGCGGACTCGTCGTTTATACTTATCAGCCGTCTCTCTGAGCAAAGTGAGGATCTTTAAGGACACATTGAAATCAGAATTTATTATACTTTTTGTAAATTATTTCATCAATTAAAGCGACAAGAAAATGACCTATTCTAGATTCGCCCCCAAACCAAGGAAATCCAGAATCCTTGGCCTTGGAATCTGGAATACAGCTCAAGAAATCCGGAATCCCATTGACGATTGGAATCAGGAATCCAAATTCCACCGACGAAGAACCGGGATCCAGAATCCACTGTGTGGAATCCAGAATCCAAGACTGTCTAGCTAGGACTCCCTTACTTAGGGCGACACAACTGATAGTTAATGTTTTCGAACTGACGCGTGTTGAAGCCCTAGGAACGTCTGTGTTGGGCGAGTTTAACTGTAGTCTTGATCGAGTTGCTTCCGTAAAAATCCCCGGAATATAACTGATATTTGGGGTGACTAGAATTTTCTACAAATAACTCTAGTATACAGCAACTCTCGGGTGACATTTTCAAAACTTTCCTCATTTTCTGTGTATGTATCTGTTAGATTATGATCCCACCTCGTCTAACTGATGGTACCTTTCAGACCATGACTTCAGTCTTTGCTTGGTACCATGGTTTCCTTTTTGTTGCTCGATGACGGATTGCACATCAGATATTTGGACGCTGAACTCAAGACCATGGCTTTCAAAAATCAATAATCATAAATCATAAATCAACAATAAGTAAACTAATTGATTAATCAATTGATTATTTAATTAATTAATTTATGGATGGATGGATGGATGGATGGATGGATGGATGGATGGATGGATGGATGGATGGATGGATGGATGGATGGATGGATGGATGGATGGATGGATGGACGGATGGATGGATGTGACTGTTAGATCGGCGTTTTAAAAAATAGAGGCACCCTCGGTGAACTAAAAAACAAGAAGCGTTTGATTATTTTAAGAGTTTTAAAGACTTACCCAGTGAAGTTTTTCGCATTCACGTGATCCAACAGAAACATCAAAAACAGAAGAAAACGGTGAATTAAAGGAAGGCGAAGATTTTCATTTTTCATGTCTTGGTTTTCGCAGGAGGGCCGGCTGTGCAGTGAATCAGTCCTTAAGACGCAGTACTATGACCAAAACAATAGGAATGAACAACGAAAAAATAATAGATATACACTTTTAATTCCATGATTTCTATATGAAATCGATGACCCGCTGCGCTGTACCGTTTTCACACAACCAATGAAGACATTCTTTTCTAGTTGTTATTATTATTTCCTTCGTTAGAGCTTTGGGAACGAATTGAGGAAGTTGTGGTTTCAAAGCGTTTCTTTAAGGCTTAACACAACTTAGGAAGTAGTTCTGTTAATAAAACTGGACAGTGCTAACGCAATTAGGAAAAAATAATTTATCTTCACTTCATTTTAGAAAAAAAAAAAAAAAAAAGAAAATAAGGTGGGGATTTGCCCCAACTTAGCAAGAGCGAAAAAAATATTTGGAATTCAGATCTGAACGTATTTCACTTTCAATTTAGATAAGGCAAGAAACTTCAGATAAGATAATGCTGAAGGGAAAGAAAAAATGAATTAATAATGCATGTTGCGGCGAAAATACTGGCAATTCGAAAAGCGAATCTGGAATCACTGTAACTAGGAACAAATTATATTTCCTTTACTTCAGACAGTTGGAAACCAAAAACCGACCACATTTATAAAATATCGAAAGCGTCTTCTTGATTACATAGAATAGTTGATGAATTGGTGGACTATATTTGGTTCTTTCACTTAAGGATAAATGCTAATGGAGCTTGTTTAATATATTTCAAATTATACAGTGATTGACATGTAGTTATATAGTCTGAACAAACCATTTGTAAAAATATTTTTTTAAAACAGAGAGAGAGAAAATTAATTCTCGGTGATCCGCATGCACAATCATTCATAAACGAACTCTTATTACCGAAGAGTACGTTTCGAATATGACTAAGACATCGCATATACTACAGTGCTGACTGTCGCATGAATTTGGTAATAAAATAATTATAGTAACAAAGAAATAAGTAAAAATAAAAACTTTCAAGTTTTACCCATTCATAATTTACCTTAAAAGGAATCAGCTGCTAATATATCCTGGGCTTGCAATCGAACATAACATCGTAACAGCGCTTATCGGCTCAGTTCTAGGATTTCTCTAGCGCGTTATGAATCCGTTGACGAGAGCAGGTGCGCATAGAAGACTTGATTAAAATGGAGCTTGAAATACCTGTTTGACTCATGGTGCTAATGCATTATATTTTCCTCATTGTTGAATTAAAAGTCACTCTCAGAATTGAGTAATCAGCACGAAATACGAGCCGCCTGCTTTGATCTCACGGCGCTGTCCTTGAATCGGACGATCTAATGCAAGGAAAAATGGGCAAAGAAAACTTTACCTAAATTTAAAAATCAGCTTATTTGAGATATTTGTAAACAATGGTTTCTCCAGATTATAAAAGAAAATATTATTAAACCCATTTCCTTACGTCCTGTACACCAAAATCTGAGAGCGGATACAACACTGGGATGTCCATTTTTAATTCCGTTGTCGTTTAATTAAAAGAAAACGTAAAACTAGACAATTCATGTAGTAACACTGAACCTTGCCATTTGATAGACCGTGCGTATATTATATTTTATCTCTCTTTAGTAAAGGAATTATAATTGCTATCCATACACAAGTCTGTAATGTGTCCTTGTGTGTCCACTTTAAAGTGTTCCTACATAATTATGCAAATTGAATGCAGCATTAAGATGAATAGCACTGCAGTTTGTACTGGAGTAAATCTAGAATAAATGAGATGGATTAAAGTTAAGGTCATTATATTAACACCTATTACATTTTCGGTATTTTTAAATCTGAGTTTATTTTTAATTGCATCGTTGAGAATTTACAGATTTTATATCCGATTTATAGCGATATTTCGATTTCAATAGTTTAGTTGGTTCTACTAACAACCAACATCCGATGATCGTAAAAATTTATGTATAAAATATATTTGTGCAAACTCGATGCAAACGACGCACAAAAGATGTATTTCTATTTTTTCTATACAAAAGAACTCCTGTGACCTTGCGTTCATTATATACAGAGTGGTCCTGTTTTATTGAGATTAGTGCATTTCCCGAGTTTTCAGTTTGTTTTGTTAAATAATGAAGTCGGACTGTGAAGAGGATAGTCGCTATAAGAGCGAGGTCGGCTGTTTCAGTTATTTCCAGTACATGTGTTTAAAAATCTGAATTGAAAAGCTATTATTTGTAATGCGTATAAAACATATATATGCCACCACAAAATAAATTATGACCCTTTTAATTGTAGTATTTGATTTAGGCTTTTCTTTTTCAGTAACCAAAAGATTTTAAGTTCTAGATACATAAAAGTGTATTGCAATTCCCCAAAAATGTTAGGGAAGAAGACGACAACGCTGATCCAAGCAACAATGAAAAACAACGACAACAAATGCAAAGATGACGACGACGACAAGTCTTCCGATCGGTTCTTTGTCAAAGGCATATAAATCCCCGGAAATGCATCCCTATGGACCTGTTTACATGGAGGTAAGGGACCCCAGGTAGGTGAGGTAACCCGGTTAGGTGGGGTAGCCCGCATGCCATATAATCTCTCATATGGTCACCCAACCTATTATGAAAACGTAATCAAAATAAAATGAGAGTATATGGACAGGCGGGTTACCCCACCTAAGCAGGTTACCTCACCTACCTGGGGTCACTCACCTCCATGTAAACAGGTCCTTAGAATAAGTTAAGTCAACTGCCACGTCCCGAGGACACGAGGCTGGAGAACATTGAATAAAAAAGCAAAACACGACATCCTGCCTGTAAGCATGTATGATTTATTGATACTCTAGTTCGTACATGTATCAATAGTTGGCCTGTTAACTATATGACCATTGCCTTGACCAATGCTTTCAAACCCTCGAACGTTTCCTCTCCTGTCGGGATAATTTGCTCCTTCGGAAGAAGGAAGCCGTAACGCCCTGTATCACGTAACTCCACCGAGAATGAGTACTTTACTCCCAGTTGTCCGTAGGTCCAGTCCTCCGAACCACCGCTAGCGGCATCTAGAAATCAGCAATAACATTTTATAACTTAGTGTGATTCTCGAATTCGCCACTTTAGAATCAAGATGGAGATTGGACCGAGTTAGTTTTCGCAAAGACTTCTGGGACTGTTACCAGAGACAGGGAAAAATGACAATAGATCTTTTCACTGTCACGCAACAAAAAAATAAATTGGAAACCGTCCAGTGGAAGAAGCCAAGAAAATGAAATGTTGTAAAAGACTAATATATAAACAATTTGTCCAAGTCTCAGGTCTTTGTGGCCCACAGTTTCTGAGTTATATGCCTAAACGTTTCACGCATCTTTGTAGAGCTTTGTATGGAGACGCCATATTGGTGCACCGTTTTGGTGCACCAATATGGCCGTCGGAAATCAACGAAAACATCTGGAGTTCACTTTTTCAATAAAAGCTCTTTCTTTTCACTCGAGAACTAGCATACGTGCGCATAAACATATCTTCTAACACTTGAAATGGTTATACTGCTGAAAATCAAGAGGAGAGACTTTTTTTCAACGAGACAGCATTCCTATTTTGGTGTCACGCACCGTGAAAACTCGGAAGTTCAAATTGCTGTATTTTCGAAACGAAACATGCTACGGAAATGGAAAATTGTACAAAAAGATTAACTTTTTGTTTATCGTCAACCTAGTGTAATGAAGAATTCGAAAAACCTCGCTATTTTGACTTTACAATTTGACGACGTCACAGTGAAAACCATCTATAGATGACCGGCGTGCCCGCAGTAGCGATCCCAGAAACAACAGCGGGCACATTTCGGCTCAGGCATTTTCCTTCTCGATCCTTTTAAAGTAGCGACTGCATGTATCTCATTTTTATCTTTATACGCTCGTAGGAATAAAATACATGATTACTATT